AAAATCATCCTCAAAAGGTAACTGTTGCAAGTACGGCATTCGAAAAATTAAAGTTCTTTCGTAATGAAGGCAGTTGAGCGAAACTGGAACAAGCAGATTTATGGTAAAAAGGTCCAGTTTCGCTGGTCTGCTTTTTGAGATGCATCACACTATACTAAGAAGCAAAAATTAACAGCTTAGATTATCATGGCTGTATACCCGGAAATGTGATAAATTTTCAGCTGAAAACAAAACGATACTATGAAATGCGGATAATACAGAGATTCACGGAACAAATCTCGGACGCCTCCTCACTTTTATGAAGGCAGGATCAGGTGCATCAACATTACCGGTGTAATTCAAAATTTTTTGCACATTTAGTTACAAAATTTTTACCTGAGCTTTACAAAATTTGTGAGTTGACTTAGACATGCGTGCCTGTACATGTTCATGAACTGTGCTCAAAAAGTTTCACCTTTCTAAACATCATGGTTGCGGAGCTCTAGCATTTTGAAATTTTCTTCGTGTCATACTAAACGTAGGGTGACGGGAAAATTTTTTTGCGTACACTATTTCATACATGGTTCTGGATCATACACAAGAAATTTTAGTGTTCCGCTGTTTCAGTTTTGGTATTAAAAAATTATTAACATCAATTTGCCAAATGTTCGCATTTGAGATCTGAGGAGAGCGAGGAAGTTGTTTTCACCCGCTCAAACGTAATACTGAACCAAGCTCACAAAATATTTCAGCTCTCCAGGCAGCATCCGCTGAATAAAGCTTGCATTCGCATTGGTTATCTAACACGATCAGCTAATTGTTATTCTTTTTTGTACGCTTTGCTGTACAGCGCTATAACGCTGCTGCAATAAGCCAAAATTTGATACTTCTTCATGTGCATTCTACACCATGACTCTAGGTTTGCCGATGCAACTATTTTTTGCAATAACTTGAATCACGTAAGTCGTTAACTGTATAAACGGTTGCTGCTTTACACTTACTCGCACGCTCTCTAGCGTAAATTATCATAAATTTTGCCTAAAGAATAAATGGCGGCACGCATCAAGGTAGCTGGTGTGATCATGCGTTCTGTGCAGTTCCGTCTGGTGGGCGATTGCCTACTAAAGACTCTCACTTTTTTGCTGATTGTGCCCTAAGCAGCAAAATTTCATTTGAAGATTTCATACCAATATGTGAAATGCAAACGTAGGTGAAAGTTCAATTTGAAATCTTGCGCGGTGATAGCCAAGAGTACTAGCGCAGAGACTTTTACGCTTTTTTGGTGCATTTATGCCAATTTCTGGCCCTTTTCGTGCGTTTCAGCATATCCGTAAGCATCCTCATCCGGCCGTGTAATGGTGATCTGCATTTCGTTTGTTAATAGAACATGTGTAAAATTTTTTGTGAATAGGACTTATGAGAGGATTAATCTTGCTCTGACTATGCGTTTGATTTTTATTTTTTTTTTGGCCGCTCATACGTCCACAGATCGCGTCAACTGAGCACCACGCAGGATGGTATTGCAGTTGCATAAGGCTCCAAGTACCATTCTTTAACATGTAACTTTCGCTAGTTTTCCCCACCCACGCGCAGATTTCCCACCCACCACAATTTAACTTCATCACACTATCACAATGGCAACTTACGTGCTGCTGACTTAACAGAGCGCCTGTCTGTATGCGAGATTAAAAAAGAGTACCTGACGCTCCATTGCTTGATGACTAGTTCTTACACTAATACGATTAACAGAGAGAGACTAAAAATTAAAATGCTAGTGGTTTTAGGACTACGTGTAACTAAAGCAGTATAAAAGGCCAAGAATTGGGTTGGTTACGTCACAGTAGCTTTGAGACCTCTGCGCTGATAACCCACAGTACCGATAAGCTGATGTTCACAACTCCCCTGTCTCTCTCTGGCTCGGAAAGAGCAACCACTGCATGCAATTATTTTAACCGCGAATTTTCCAGGATGAGCGTCCTTCACGTAATTTTGATGATATGTATGGTGCCGTGGGTTGCATCAAACGCAGTACTGGGCACCAGTACCCCAGCCAGCAACGAATCCGAAACTGGACTACACATCGTGGAATCGCATTCCGACAATGTGGAAGAAGAAAGCAGTGTCGTTACTCGTTTAGGCAGTGCTTTCGCTGCTGTGGTAATGCCAGTCCGAATTTTCTCCATCTCCACGAGATGACTTGGTCTTTGTACGTTGTAGGAATGAATTTTGTGAACTCGCCGTGAACTGCTTGGCAAGCAATACTTTTTGGAAAGAACCTAGGATTTACTTTTGAGGGCGGCATACTGACACCACACAGGGAGTCCAATCTAAGCATTATATTAGCAACGCACCCTGGAAGACGTTGGTTACGTAAGTTACGTAACTTGTATATTTGTTTTTGTTTCATTGGGGGAAGGGGGCTTTTAGAACCAAATTAACGCAGTTTTTCGCTTTCTAACCGCTAATCTGCGTATCACCGAACGCTATGTGAAAGAATGGGATGTGCAACATCAGCTAACGAATAAAACGGCAGATCTACTTTCCAAGCTGCCTACGGATGTCAGCAAGAGCAGCTGCATCCCCGAAAAAAAACTAGACAAGACGAGTCAGCGGTCAGTATGTGCCCAAGTACTGTAGCAGCAGAAGTAAGCTGAAGGATTCTCTAGCATTTCGCAATGCGCACACGGTAAACTGTGGAACGCACAGGAAACCTTTACGTTCGTGCGATAAATATTTCTGTTGCAAGATGAAGAAACGTACAAATTCCCAGCATGCAGGCTCCTTGGTACACTCCGTTTAGAAATTCCACAAGTGGTAGTTACATGGTGAGAATTCGTAATTCAGGACAGAGTTTGGTGTCTTCACTTACAGCTTAAATTACTTTCATTATTGCACGGTATTTTTCAGAAAGCAGCAATTGCGTACTACTTCGCTGCTATCATCGATTTGTTTCTTCGCTTGCCGAAAGCGCAAATCGAAGAAAATTACGCACTGCACAAAAAGATAAGGACGAAATATATATGGGTAAGATTTTCAGCATTCTGTTGTGCATTTTGGCTTTGAGAAAGGATTGTCTCGTCACAAACGTTCGCATTTAGCAGCAAATCTTTTCTTCAAAACAGAAGTCGACGGAAGCTCCGCTCTTTTATCGGTTTACCCAAATACTTACCCATCACACAGATTTTGTGGCGCTAACGCAAACCCACTATTCTACAAGAAGACGCACTACGCCTGTGAGGACTTTGCTCGGTTCAAATAATGCGAACTTTCAGTTATTATACTCATGGTAACTGCAACAACAGTTCACCTATTTTCGGGAACATATATGTATTCAATTAATCAACTTTTAGGCTCAAGCTGAAATTTCGAACGACAGTGTCCAAATGAATCTATTTTACATGCAATCCTGTAAAGTACCTATATGTTTTACTAAAGCTACACATGAAGAAGGTATAGTACGATTAGAGGCCGAATGTATAGTAGATAATGAAAACCTGATGGACGTCAAAAAAATCCCAATGCACAACATTGCGGAAGAAGCTGCAAACGTTTTGACCAAACCATCAGCAAGAATCACCGATCTGATCGAGCAATTCAAGAAGGAAACGGCATTTTATGGAGAAGAGACGCGTCGGTACATCCGCGACGATTATGACCGATGCAAAATATTCAGGAGTACACAAATTTCGAAGATTGCGAGAATTTACAGCGAAATGCATCCTGAATCTAATTACCCTCATGTTCACACGTTCGAAGATGTTGATAATCTCAATTTTGGAGAATATCATTTTTTTGTGCATCCATAGGAAAAAGCTATTGGCCAGCAGCATTCCCTTTACTGCTTTTGCTGATATTCTGCAACTTATTGTAATTTTCTTCTGTCCTAAGCGTAGAATGGTAGAAAACTCACAGCGAGTGAACTGCTTGTATGTGTTCTTCGAAATCTATAAGCTTGTCCGCACTGTTTTTCAGCGGAGATTGTGCACAGCTCCCTAAAATTATTACTGTCGCTACTAGTGTTATTATTACTACTGTTATAGTCACTACTGTTATTGTCATTACTATTGTTAATTTTTTTAATAAAATGTTTCGTTAACCTTTTTATGAAATTGCTGGGATTTCGATAAAGTTTTTAATGAGAGGTTGATAGACAAGATGTCCTTTACAGTCCACGACCTCTTTGTCTCAAAGCATCATTTAGATCTCTGTGGATGTTTCGCTAATGAATTACGCTTGGTCTTTAGGTTAAGCGTATTGTAGGCAGGGTAAAAGTTTGCAATTTGACAGTGGGTTGCTGCAGGTACAAAAATCTGGTCGTCAAATTTATTCGTCAGAACTGTTTTGAAAGGAGCATTTTCTCTGAAAAGAGGAAAAAGTTCCGATTTTGTTTCTGATACTGGCCCTAGCTAGCGTGTGCGTTTCACATGTAATGCAAAAATCGCACCCTCGTGCTGTTTATCCAACGAATATTGTTGATCTCCGTAATGGTATTTAAATTCCTGGAACTTCAGCTTTTTTTAAAAAAAGAAATCTAAATTTTCTAAGCTTTAGTCTTTTTTCGAGATTTTTTAATGTTCAGGGTGTTGCGTTGTC